GGGGGGTGAGGGCAGGCAAATCTTTGCTGGAAAAGAAAAAGAAAAGAAAAGGGACAGCATTTCCCCACCCCCCATGGGGTCGAAAATTTTGAATACGTTACTRGGGGGGGGRCGGAGGGGATGGGGTAGACAATTGTCACAATTCTTAACAGGGGAAAAAAAGAAACAAAAACAGCATCTGAAAGAGTACGAAATGGAGGAAGATGACGAGGAGGAGGAGGAGGAGAGGTAGGGGGACAAAGAGGAAGAAAAGCAGGTCGAAGGCCCTACTTTTCTTCCACTCTCTCCCCCTACCCCTCCTCCTCCCCCTTGTCAAGTCCGCCCCCCTCTCCTCGTCCTCCTCCTCCTCCTCCTTTTCCTCGCACCTTTATCTCTCGTTTATCCAAATTACCCCCCCATCCTCCTCCTCCTCCTCCTCCTCTTCCTCCTACCGCAATCCCGTTTCCCGAGTTTTGACGAATCTTGCGCCTCAATCCTGCCACCCTCCTCCTCTTCCTCCTCCTCCTCCTCCTCCACCTCCTCCTCTCCTTYGTACCTCAATCCGGCGTTGGGAYGATACAGAGAAGATTATCATGGCCCATGCGCAAGGATGACACACATGAATCGAGTATTAGTCTGCAWYTGAAAATGAAAACAAAAACTTCCACCTCGGTCTCCCCCTACCCCTCCTCCTCCACCTCGTCAAGTCCACCCTCCTTTCCTTTCACCCAGTTCTCTTCCTCTTCCTCCTCCTCTTCCTCCTCCTCCTCCTCCTTTTCCTCGCATCTTGATCTTTCGTCCATCCCACCATCCTCCTCCTCCTCCTCCTCCTCCTCCTCCTCCTCCTTGTACCTCAATCCCGATTCCTGAGTTTTGAAACTTTAGACGAATCTTGCACCTCAATCCTGTCATCCTCCTCCTCTTCCTCCTCCTCCTCCTCCTCCTCCCCCTCCTCCTCCCCCTCCTCCTTTTCGTCGCACGTTTATCAAGTTTATCTGTAGTCACATCCCGTCATCCTCCTCCTCCACCTCCTCCTCCACCTCCTCCTCTCCCTCGTACCTCAATCCCGCGTTGGAACGATACAGAGAAGATTATCATG